CACACATGCACATACACACACTCAGACACGCACATACTCATATACATACACTCACACACATGCTCATACACACACACATATATACACATACACATACGCATGCACATACACACGTGCAGACACACTTATACACTTACACACACACATACCACCACCACCCCCCGCCAAGGACCACACTCCCGGGGTGATGCCCGAGGAGGAAGCTTCCACCTCCCCAGGTCTCACAGTTTCCGTTGCCCCCAGCGACCCCGGTGCTCGGTCACACATCCACGGTGACCACCCAGAAGACCCGCCTCCAAGGCAGGACCACCCTCCCCTACAGTGGTTCTCAGCCATCGCCCTGCTCACGAGAACCCCCTGGGAATTTTGAACAAGCACCGGTGCCTAAGCCACTCCAAAAACTGATGGGCTTCGTCCCAGGTGGGCCAGATCTGGAACGTTTCAAAAGCTCAGCCCGGGGTGGGACCCCGGAGCCACGGCTCCCACCCCTCAGTGCTGCCTGCACTAACCCCCCTCACCAGTTGCCCTGAATTTACAGTCTCCCGAGAGCCTACTGTCCACAAACAGGAACAGGCGGCCGCGGGTGAGGGGGAGGACGTTGTCTCTGACCAATGATGCTGAAGTGTCCAGTGTTGCTCTGGAGCTTTTTCTGGACGTCTGACAGAGTCAATCTAGAGCCGGCCCCACCTCGCCCCCCGCCCAAGGATGCTACGGGAGCAAGCAGCTCTTTCCTTCCCAGCATAGTTTCTTTAAGATTATACTCAACTGCACTCAAATGACCTTTAATATGATCTCTAATTATTCAAAGGCGCAGGGGTGGTTCAGTGGTAAAATTCTCTCCGGTGTGGAAGACCTGGGTTTGATTCCTGGCCAATGCCCCTCAGGCACAGCCACCACCGGCGTGTTGCTGTGATGCTGAACAGATTTCAGTGGCGATCCAGACTAAGACAGACTAGGAAGAAAGGCCTGGCCATCAACGTCCCAAAATCAGCCAATAAAAACCCTATGGAGCACAACAGTCCAATCGCCAACCGATCGTGAGGATGGCACATTTTTTTTCCATTGTGCGCGGGGTTGCCATGAGTCAGGGGCCAACATGATGGCCACTAACAACAGCAACAAAATATTCAACATAGGAATTATTTAGGCTCCTGGTTGTAAGTTAAATGGTGAAATATTGTACAGTTATTTCAAATGGCTTGAAATACACATAACAACTTGAGGACGTGGTGGTTGTAGAGTTCGGTGCAAAGAATGAGATTCACTGTCGTATAAGTGTGATGAATCTACACAGAAAATATGTGGAAAACCCTCTAGAAGGAAATAATTCAATGGGAAAAACGGTTGCTTCTTTGACATTATCACTGATTTTATCTTTTTTTCTGTCCGTTCTCAATTTTTTCAAAATGTGTATGAACTGCTTTTATCATAAAAATATATGTGTTCCATAGCAATAATAAAGGTGTTTGTTTTATAATAATAATAAAATTGTTTATTTTAAACAATAGTTTTGTAGACTCTGTAAAAGCCCAGAAAATAGTTAGAGTATAATTTTAAGTCACAAGGTCAGGATGGAAAAGCCCACACAGCAAATGCAACTATGAAGAACTCCATAGGTAACTGAAGAAGGGCTGAGAGTGTTAGGTTCTGGTGATTTTTCTGCTTCGCCTTTCCACTTTAAGATAACGACTTAATGAAGGAAGAGACAGGAGCACCCGGTCTTAATGGACGCTTGACTGTGTCCTTTGCCCAAAGCAAGTGTAAAGAGGCGAAGTTGATCTGTTTTAAAACCACTTGGCATAAATGAAATTATATCATCCAGGAAGGAACGACTCGTGTCGCTGATGAGCGTATTAAAGAAAAAAAAAAGGAGAAAAGAGAGGAGACAAAGACGCCCTCTCCTGATGCCACCTGGGAGGGAGGCGGACGCGGTGAGGAACAGGAGGTGACACGGGGGCGCGGCGTTGGGGGGGGCCTGGGTGCTGGCTGCTTCCTGGGGGAAGCTATAAAAGGAGGTAAGAGCCCACCCCGGCCTCACTTCTCCCGGGGCCTCATTCCTGCCAGCAGCCTCTCGTCTGGCTCCTGGGAAGCGCGGTGAGTAGCTGCCGGAGTCTCTCCAGGGTGTAAGAGCTTCTCTCCACCTGGGCGTGGGTCGGGTTTTCCCAGGACTCCGCGGAACGGCAGGGCAGCCGTGGTGAGGTTCGTGTGGTGCCCCGGTGCCATCCAAGGTGAAGCTGCCCCCTGCATGGGCAGGGACCCCCGACTCTCAGGGAAGCAGGTCCTTGATGGTCAGGAGCTAAGCGCCGCTGATGGTCCCCCAGGGACAGGCTCACCAGGAGGGTCCCTGAGATGGGCTCACCCATTGGTTCCCTGAGACAGGTTCATCCATGGGTCCCTGGGAATGAGCACACAGTACCCACCTCCCCATTTTGGCCCATTCTCATCACTCTGCTTTCCCATCTGCTGCACAGCTTCCTCCAGGTTGGGGACCCCCACCCCACCCAGGTGAGTGACACCCCAGCAGATCTCTAAGCAGGAAAATGGTTGTTGTTGGTAGAGATTCACACATACACACACTTAGACACACATACTTACACACACACACAAACACACACACACCCCAAGGGCCACCCTCCTGTGGCGATGCCCAAGGAAGAAGCTTCCAGCTCCCCAGGTCTCACAGTCTCCATTGCCCCAGGGACTCTTGTTTAAATCATAGTGATTCCAACTCACGGCGACCCCATGTGACAGAGTAGAACTGCCCTGTAGGGTTTCCTAGGCTGTAATTTTTACGGGAGCAGATTGCCAGGCCGTTTCTCCCATACGGTGGCTTGTGGGTTCGAACTGCCAACCCTTCAGGTAGCAGCTGGGCACTTAACTGTGGTACCACCAGGGCTCCTTAGGAGAGGCATGAGGGTGTTTAAATCCCGCTGCGGGAGGGAGGGGTTGGGAAGTTGGCTAAACACTCAAAGGTCTGCAGAGGGGTCCTCTCCTGAGACTCGGGAACCTGGGCGGCTGTGGCAGCATCTTCTGCTGGATCCTGGGGTGCCGAGGGCTGGGGGGCCCTGGGGTGAGTGTGGCAGCATCTTCTGCTGGATCCTGGAGTGCCGAGGGCTGAGGGGGACCACGGGGTCGGGCACCTGCAGCAGGTGGACGCTGTTCAGGCAGGTCACCACCTCTGCTCCTGCAGGGCTGCAGGTGGGTTTCAGTACCTGTTTGTGTCCGTGAGGAATCCCAGCAGCCGCTCCTCCCTCCATCCCGTGGGGTCCTCGTGCCCATGAGAGCAGGTCACGGCTGTGCATTTCCGTGGGGACCCTCGGAGCTGGCCCAGGTGTGGACAGCAGGGAGCACTTGTTAAGGACTGAGGACACCAGCCCTTCCCACAAGGCCGCCTGTCAGTGGGCGGGCTCGGGTAGGGTGGGGGCAGGCTGGAGGCCCTGGCCGGGTAAGAAAGAGCCCTGAGTGGGGTCCCAGCCCCACCCCAGCCTCGGCACCCCCAGCCTTGCGTGGGGTTGGGCAAGCCATCCCCACTACCCCTCAGCTCCCCTGGCTCCAGGGACAGCCCCTCACACGGGCTCCTGATGGCCTGCGGGGCGGGCACGGAGTGGTCAGCCCCCTCACACAGGCTCCTGATGGCCTGCGGGGTGGGCACGGAGTGGTCAGCCCCCTCACACGGGCTCCTGATGGCCTGGGGGGCGGGCAAGGAGTGGTCAGCCCCCTCACACTGGCTCCTGATGGCCTGCGGGGTGGGCACAGAGTTGTCAGCCCCCTCACACGGGCTCCTGATGGCCTGGGGGGCGGGCACGGATTGGTCAGCCCCCTCACATGGGCTCCTGATGGCCTGCGGGGAGGGCACGGAGTGGTCAGCCCCCTCATACGGGCTCCTGATGGCCTGCGGGGCGGGCACGGAGTGGTCAGCCCCCTCACACGGGCTCCTGATGGCCTGGGGGGTGGGCACGGAGCAGAGCAAGCACACAGAGTTCAGAGAGGCCCCCGTCCCTCCTGGTTTCCTGACACAGACAGACAGACAGACCAAGTCGTTCACAGACGGCACCTTCACACACACCTCCCGGGTCTTTCTGCTCGCAGGGGCTGACACACTGTCCTTTCATTCATTCAGCATCTCACAGGGAGAGAACAGGGCCCAGGAGGGAGAGCAACTTTCCGGAGAGCCGGGGTTAACTGCTGCTTGGTGCACACTCCCACCCCAGCACAGAGCAGAGGGAGCCACAGGGGCATGGCTGCATGCACATGCATGTACACACATGCCCACATACACTGTCACACATGTGCACGAGCTCTTACGTACATACACACACATGCAAATACACACATACACGTGTGAAAGTATGCACATGTACGCATATACACGTGCACACATACACTCTTACACACCACCAGCATACGCTCTTACCTACATAGCATACACACTCACACACACACACGTGCAAATGCACACATACTCTCATACGTGCACATGCTTTTGTATAATACACATATGCATGTACACACGTACATGCATGCACATACACACAGGCACATATGTACACATGCACACGTACATTGTCACACACAGCACATGCAAACACACACTCAGACCTGCAAGCACACACACACTGTCTCACATGTACACACGTGCATGTATGTACATGCACACATGCACTCACACATACACTTCTTATATGTACACATGCGTGCATGCATGTACACGTGCACATACTAACACATGCACACACATGCACACACATGATCTCTCGTGTATACACACATATAGACTCAAATGCACACACTCAGGTACACACACACACACACACACACTCTTACATATGCACGCATGCTCTATATCACACACACATTCCACCGCTCACCTCATTCAGGTCTCCCCAGATTTGTGTGCACACGTGTTAACGTTGCTCTGCCCTTCTGTCCTCTGTCCCCAGGCTGCACCCTCCCCGTGTGGGGTCCCACCCGAGCGTGGTCTCATCCAAGGACCCAGTGCGATGAAGGCAGGGCTGGCCTGGCTCCTGTGCCTGCTACTGCTGGGCCTGGCCCTGCGGGGGTCCACCAACCGAGCCCGCCCGCACTCCATGGAGGCCCGCAGTGAGTGCCGCCCGCCTCCCTGCAGCCCCCACCCCAGCCAGGCCTGTGCTGGCTGAGCCCCGGCTCTGGGGGGTCAGCCTTGGGATGTCGCAGGCTCCTCTGCACCAGGCCTTACCCTAGAGCCCCCTGCCCCTGTCCAGCCCCAACTCGGGGTTCACATCTCACTGCCCACATGACCTGGGGGCTAGCCGGTGCTGCCCAGACCAGGTGGTCAGGCGAGAAGGGAAGTTGACCTGAGTAAGTCTGACTTGCCGTTTCCCGAAGTCTTCCCATTGTGGGGGGATCCCACACTGCCAGGGTTACCGGGCAGCCGTTGGATGGGAGCCCAGTGTGCCAGCTGAGGTGTGCGTGTCCAGGGACACCCGTCCACACCTCTCTCGTCTTCCCTCTGCAGCCCCTGACATCAACCCCGCCTGGTACATGGGCCGGGGCTTCAGGCCCGTGGGCCGCTTCGGCAGGAGGCGGGCAGCCCTGGAGGGCGACCCCAGGCCTGGCTCCTGGCGACGGCTGGCCTGCTTCACCCTGGTCGGAGGCGCCAGGTCTTTGCGGGACAAGGGACGGTCCAGCTCATCAAGAAAGTAGCTGGGGGGCTCCTCCCCACCACCCTCCCTTCTCCTCCCCTGTCTGCTTCTCCTTCAACCCAATTAAAAACTCCGGCCTGCGTGGAGGCTGTCTGCACTGTGTGGCGGTAAATGAGGAAGTGTTTTCTGCGTGGAATGTTAAAAAAAAAAACAGTCACCACAACTCGTGGCGGCCCCACTTGGGTCAGAGTGGAATGGGGCTCCATAGGGTTTTCAGTGACTGTGAACCTTCAGAAGCAGATCGCCAGGCCTTTCTTCTGAGGCACCTCTGGGTGGACTCAAATGTCTAACCTTAGGGTAGCAGCTGAGCATATCAACTATTTGCACCACACTAGGACTACTAAACATTTGCCATAGACTCGATTCTGACTCCTAGTGATCCCATGTGTGTCAGAGTAGAACTGTGCTATTTTCAATAGCTGATTTTTCGGAAGTAGATTGCCAGGTCTTTCTTCCGAGGTGCCTCTGGGTGGACTTGAACCTCCAACACCTCAGTTAGCAGCTGAGCGTGTTAACCATTTGCATCCCCACTACTCCATGTGGAGTATAGCCCGGAAGGAATGCTAGTCCCAGCAGGCTCCGTGGAGGGAGCAGCCCCGGGACCTGCCCAAGAGCCCTGGCAGGAGCTGGGGGTTCCAATTGCCCTCAGTCTCCTGCCTCCTGCCCGTGCTCCCACCCAGGCTGCCATGTGGGGTGCCCGGTGTCCAGCGTGGGATTCTAGGGGTGCAGGCACCCTAGGGGGGTGGACACACCCCAGAGGAGGCCCTCAGCCTTCCCCACCCCTCGTCCCCGCCTCAATGCTCTTGTATCTCCCTCAGCCCAGGCCTTTTTACTTCCTTGTTGTTACCCGAGGAGAAGAGGCGGCTGGGTAGGTGGGTGTGTCCATTCAAGGGCAGAGGGGCCCCACGTGGTCTCCACAACATCACCTGCCCCACGTCTCTGCATCCCATCTCAGGCCCAGACGCTCACACCACATCCAGCTCTCACTCTTTGACATGAGCTGCTTCTCAGCTAGCCGGCCAGGCCACCCCCTCAGGGCCGAGTCACACACCCTCGCACACCTCGGCCGCCACTGGACAAGCAATGGAGCTGGGGAGGGTGGTGGGCAACCAGGCCAGCCTCCTCCAGGGACAGCCCCTCACCCCGCACACCTCCCCAGGGCAGAGCAAGCTTGTGGGGACAAGAGAGATGGCAGCAGGTAAAGGTTGTGGCCTTGGAGGTTCACAGCACATCGTGAGGTAAGACAGGGACACAGTGTGAAGGACCTCACAGGTGTGACAGTGGGCTCTGGACGCCAGGGGGTACGAGGACAATGCCTCTTGGGAATGGCCCGCTTAGATGAGCAGTCTAGGGACATGGGACCGGGCCGGCGGGTGACGGGCGGGAGACGGGAAGAGGACCAGGGCTGAGTAGTCACTGACCAGGGAGTCCTCTAGTGGCATTTAGCTCCTGGAGGGGACCTGTCGGCAGTCCATGTGGCTGGGCGTGGGGATGGAGGTTGGTCAGGAGCCCCCTGCACCAGCCGGGGCCGGGGGACCCCAGGTCAGACCCAGCAGCTGGCTAAGCGGAGGAGCAGAAGGCCTCCAGCCACAGCCCAAAGGCAGCCACTGGACATCTCTCCTCGCCTGGGAGGGCGGTAACCTGAGACCTCCTCCCCTCAGGGGCTCTGGGGTCATGGGTGGTGCCCACCACCCAGAGAAGGCCACGAGGAAGGGGATGAGGCTCGGCCAGTGGCCACCATGACCAGGCAGCCCACATGGTCTCCACACGAGAGCAATGGGGCCAGAGAACGTCCAAGCTGTCGCTGCTCCCCACTCACCCAGGGAGGTGAGGGGGCGAGGCCGGGCATCACCTACAGCTTCTTTCTTGTTATCTGCTTTCGTAATTAATCATCTTGACTGCTGTCTAGGACGTGCTCCCGGGAAACAGAATTCCACATGGTATTGGTCAAGGCCGTCTGTGTCTACAACTCCTTATAAAAGTTTCCAAACATACAGAAAAGCGGGAGATCATAGTCATGAGCACCCTATACTCTCCACTCAGATCCACCACTTACGGATATTGTTGCTATGTTTACTGTACCTCTCTCTCCTTCTCCCCTTCCTCCCCTCCCTCTACCATTGGCAAGGAAGTTGCAGACATCATGACACGCTTCTCCAAGAATAAGGACAATCTCTTCCACAACCGCAAAGCCATCATCACACCTAAGAAAGGAACAAGAGCTCCGTAACAGCGTCAACTTTTTAGTCTATACTCGCAAGAAATCCTACAGCCTCTTCTTTTCTGCTTTTCTTTGGAACCCGGATCCAGCCTAAAGTCTCAGGCTGCAGTCTGCGGTTTCTCTTTAGCCTAAGTGTAGGGCAGCCCCTGGTCATCTCATTTTGTCACGACATTGATGGTTTCAAGGGCCCAGAGCAGCTGTCTTGTAGAAAGGCCCACACGCGGAGCATCGTTCCCGTGGGGCTGGATCTCGTCCTCTGCCCCCGTATCTCCCGTGATTGAAAGGCAGGTGCTGAGGTTTTCTGGCGTGAGCAGGACTGCTCTGTGTCTCTCCAACTGTGTCACAGCTGACAGGTGCTCCGGGGCCCCGAGCACGTACTACGTGCCTGCGGCGGGTGCTTCAGCCCCGTGACGGTCTCCTCTTCCCCACACGCTCACAGCCAACGATTGAAACACCCCCTGAACATCCTGGCCGGGAGCAATTATTACATCACGGTCACACCATGGGGATCCCCTGCTTCCTTCCACACTTACCAACTGAATCCTTCTAAAGAAGAACTTTTCCTTTCTCTTTCCTCTTTTTTTTTGAGGGGGAAGGATTTTTATTTGTTCAACACCTGATAAATAATTTTTGATGCTCAAGTTGTCCCAAATGTGGCCGGTGAGAGCCCCAGTAAGGGAGCAAATGTTCAGAGAATAGGCTGGGGACCCTGCAGAGGCAGCACAGGACCCATGCCGGGTCAGTGGTCTGGGAAAGCGTGTTCATCCAGGGAGTCGAAGGGGACACATTCAACTGAAACAAGACAAGAAATGGAAAAGCGTGCATCCCAGGCGGCGTCAGCAGAGGCGCACGTGGGGCGGTCACTTAGAACCCTCTCCCTGCCTCCGTCCCTCCACCCCTGCCCACACACACACACACACACACACACACATACACTAGCTCGTGAGCAGACCCGGGCAGTGGGCACACGGACTGACCTCCCCCAGGATCCTGTTTATCCTTGGAGAATCTGCACCACCAACGTCTGCCCTGCTGGCTCACCCCACCATGCTCGCAGGGATGGGGCCTTCATGCTGGCTCCCCACCACCACCACCCCACATTTCAGGGTAATAAGTACCCTATTGTCCATAAACCCTAGTGGCACAGGGGTTAAGAGTTCAGCTGCTAACCAAAAGGTCGGCAGTTCAAATCCACCAGCTGCTCCTTGGAAACCTATGGGGCAGCTCTACTCTGTCCTATAGGGTCGCTGACTATGAGTTGGAATTGACTCAATGGCAACGGGTTTGGGTTTTTTTTTGGTCGGGCCTATGAGAAGGCGTGGGTGGAGCTGGCCGCCAGCGGGCACTGCGCAAACGTCGGTCAGTTGTGGTGGCAGCTATTTTAGGAAGGCCTGCCTTTCTTTAGGGCTCTGAGAAAACAGCCTTCAATCCCTTGTTCAACACCTCTTTGCCCAGCACCTGGTGTGGGCCCAGCCTTACACCAAACCAAACCCAAACCTGTGGCTGTCAAGCTGATTCCAGCTCATGGTGACCCCATGTGTTACACAGTGGAGCTGCCCCTTGACTATAATCTTTACGAAAGCAGATCGCCAGGTCTTCCTCCCTTGGTACCACTGGATGGGTTCAAACCACCAACCTTTAGGCTTATAGTCAAGCACAAACCATTTGTGCCCCCCAGGGACTTGATATTGTATCAAAACACACACACACACACACACACACGCACGCACGCACACACACGCACGCGCGCACACACACACACACACAAAAAAAAAAAAAAAACCCGAAACCAAACATATTGCCGTGGAGTCAATTCCAGGGCCTGGAAACTCGAAGCAGTAAAGGCAGACTGCATCCCTGCTACCACGGGGCCCTCCACTTTGCCTGCGACTAGGCTTCCCTGGGGAGGTTGTAAAATCCCAACATCCAGGTCACCCTGCAGAGGGACTTCACCAGGGCCTCTGGAGGAAGGGGAAGCCTGTGCGCCCTGATGCTCCCAGGTGATTTCCACACCCCGCAGGCAAGGGGGGCTGTGGAGCAGAGGGGAGGGGCTACCACCATCCAGGAGACGGGGGCACGAGGGTGCGGGACCACAGCCACACTCCGTTCCATCTTGGAGGGGCCCTGGCAGTTTCCTGGTAGAATGAGTCTAATTCTGATGTCATTGTATATTTACATTTTTACATATTTAATACAATTTAATATAAACATGCTTTTAATGATAAATTGTAGCACGAGTGATAGCTAACCGGACAGTGGGGCGGAGGGTGCGAGGGGGAAACACGCAACCAGACCTGGGGCATCCCCCAAACAGCCCCATTTCCCCACTTCCTGTTTCGTCAATAGGCTCCTCAGAATCCCCTTTGGAAGCCTTGTATTTTGTTCTTCTATAAATACTCCCCTCCCCAGTTTGGGGGGATGTGGGAGACCTCCAGACCACACATTGTGGGTTCACTTCAGCGATGCAGGAGCGCCATCTGGTGGCCATGGGCAGCCCCAGCCTCCCTCCGGCTCCCGGTGGCCCTGCCTTAAGTGGGGCGGGGTTCCCGGCACTGCAGCGCCTGGTGGGGGCCCGGAGAGGGAGGTCACACAGGCCCCCCGGAGCCCCACTTCTCTTCCTAGGGAATAATACGACAGAACTGTCCGATCTTACTAGCCATCTAATCAAAACTGCAACTGACACCACAGTTAGCTGGCCGCTTTCACCTATGAAATTGTCCAAGGAAAAAAATCCCAGCATTCGCGAAAATGAAAGAAATGAGCTCTCTCCTAAGTGCTCATTTCCTTTAGTTTATCCTTTAGCTTTTCCTGAAGATCATGACCAGAAGGAGCGTCCGTCTAGTGGAGACCACATGAGAAGCTTTTTCTAGAATTGTTGCCAGCTGCGGATGAGTCAGCCCCCAACTCGTGGCAACCCCATGGTGCCCAGTCCTGTGCCATCAGCTTTGGATCAGAGTGCTGTGATCCAGAGGGTTTTCACTGGCTGATTTTTGGAAGCCGATTGCCAGGCCTTTCTTCCTAGTCTGTCTTAGCCTGGACGCTCCACTGAAACCTGTTCGACATCACAGCAACACACAAGCCTCCATCGACAAGTGGGTGGTGGCTGCGCCTGAAGTGCATTGGCTGAGAATCAAACCCAGGTCTCCCACATGGAAGGTGAGAATTCTACCACAGAGCCACCTCTGCCCCACTCTTTCCGAATAAGCACCAGGAAAGACTGAACCTGTCAGAGGAAACTGAGCTGCGTCCGCCCTATTCCCAGCACAGCAGCCGGATCAGTCAGGCAACACCAGACCATGGTGGCATCCCCAGTTAGGACAAGGCAAGGTGGGCTTATTACAGAGGAACTTGTGACAAAGGTATGACTGGGACGTAGGAGACAGGGAGGTGGGAGCCCAGGCTCGCAGTGATGGAGGAAGCCCATCTGCCCGGTGGCGGAGGAGAGCGAGCAGCTCCCAGGACCTGGACAACGTAGTCATCCTGTGCTGGCCTCGCCAAGAGGGGACCCAGCCAGTGCCTCACCTGTGTCCCCCTCTGGCTCCTGCCAGAGCTCCACAGCAGCTGCCACCACCTGAAGGCCAGAGCCCGGTGGTCCTGTCGATGTCCCCCAGGTGGAGAAGAATGGACGGGAGCGACCTGAAGCACCCCACAGAGCCTCCAGAGAAGCTGCATGTGCCTTTGGGTTCCGGGTTCCGGGCCAAAGGGGAGGCGCCTTCCCTTTTATACTTACGTTTATCCTTGTAGTTGACCGAGTTAAGCCACATTTCGCAGTAAATTGTAATGTTTCATTACTCACAAGCCCTGGTGGTGCCGTGGTTAGAGCTCAGGCTGCTAACCGAAAGGTTGGCAGATCGCATCCACCAGCCGCTCCTTGGAGGCCCTATGCGGCAGTTTTACTCTGTCCTGTAGGGTCACTAAGAGTCGGAATCCACTCGATGGCAACAGGTTTGCTTCTTTTTGGCATAGTCCCAGGGGCAAGGATGAAAACCAACCTCACCCAAATGTGGCCACATTTGAAATGCCTTCAACCTGTCATGTTAGGTGTCAAGAGAGACCCAAGAGAAAAATGTTCCTTGGGGGTGACCTCCCAGACAGTGACGAGCCCCTCTCAGTAAAGGCAGGCAGATGAGAGAGGAATACGTTAGTTCCTGGTGGTACAAACAGTTAATGGCTGCTAACCAGAAGGTTAGAGGTTCAAGTCCACCCAGAGGCACCTCAGAAGAAAGGCCTGGTGATCTACTTCTGAAAAATCAGCCACTGCAAACCCTATGGAGCACAGTTCTACTCTGACACACGTGGGGTCGCTGTGAGTCAGAGTCGATTCAGTGACATCTGGACCTGGTACCATCCACAGACGTGTCCTGCGGACCACTTAGCCACTGCCGACCGCGCGGGCCGCCTCCTTATGCATTTAACCTGAGCTCTCCTGGAACATGCGGGGAGTGGCCCATGATAACACAGTCAGGTCCCACCCGGCCCTGCAAACACACAGCCTTCCAGATTACAGAAAGGAGTTTAATTTTACACGCTGTACAGCTGACGCCTCAGGCAAGAAGTCTCAGACTCTCCAATGCCCCGGGGCACAAGCATGGCTTCCGGAAGTCAAAGCGGGGAGAAGAGGTGGGGGGCTGGCCCTCCCCGCTGCCCTCCATCAGACACCATCCTTCTTCCCCAGGGGGCTTCACTGAGATCCAAAGGCCTCAGACCCACCCCCGTGGTGCGTTTCCCTGGCCCCGCCACCCCCTCCTAAGCCCGGCCGCTGCTCCCCTGCCTCCCAGAAGCAGGTGGGTTTAGCCCCTGCCCAGCGCCGGGAGTGAGGCGCCTGTCCACCCACCACAACGACCAATGTCCTTTCCGGATTCTTGCTCCCCACCTCCGACCCTCTCATTCCTTGGCGTCCCAGGCCCAGGCAGCCGAGCAGGGCAGCGCCCGGGGGGCCAGGTGAGGCAGACAGCCCGGCCGGAGTCCGGGAATCAGCTGGGACTCTGCGAACACCCCATTTGACACAGATGCTCCCGCAACTTTGGGAAGCGGTTTGGCACGAACGCCAGCGTCTCTGGGACCTCCAGGCTCAGGACAATCCAGTGACAACAGCAAGTCAGACTCGAGGGCCACAGTCAGTACGGCTCCCTCTGAGGACTGGATGGGGACCTGTGTGCTGGGTGTTCCCCACAGCCCTCCTGGCTGCTTCTAGCGGGCGCAGCATTTGGCCTGCCTGCCTGGGTGGGGGGCCTGGTTCAGAGTCAGCCGGGGGTCCCCCCTCTGCGTTGGGTCCACCCTCTCTTCTCTTTGCAGTAGCTCTTGGGCTATAAAAGGGCAGAGGGGGAAAGGGTTAGGTGGGGAGGGCAGTCCCCAGCCCGGCACGCACCCGGCAGCCCACGGCAGCCCTGGGGACACCCCCTCCCCAGCCTTGACCCGGAGCCGTCAAACAAGGTCTCCGTGCCTCTCCTGCTCACCTTTTCACCCTTAGAGTCTATTGGTCCCAGGACAGCAGAAAAGACCCCGCGAAGGCCAGGGGATGCGCCTGCCACCCCTCTCCCTTGCCGACCCCTCCGGCCCCTCACTCACCCACAGCGTCGAAGATCTCAGTCACCTGGTGGTTCAGCTTGGCCGAGGCTTCCATAAAGAGCAGCTTTTTGCTCTCGGCAAACTCCTTCCCCTCCTGCGAAACAGCCACGGAAGCACAGGTTACTGACAGAAGAGCGTTTCCCGAGAACACTCGCTGCCTTCTGTAACGGATCCAGTGGTGTCCCCCAAAGAGGTGTCTGGGGGATGTTTGAAGATGTCACTTGGGCACGCGAGGCCATGCTGCAGGAGGCTGGGTCCTAACCCCACCCGAGTGTGTCCTTGTAGAAGAGGAGAGACGCAGAGAGGAGACGGGGCATGAAGGTGAGCCTGACACATCTGTAGAGTGAAGGCTAGCGTGTCCCAGTGTGATATTGGACCAAGACACCAAGAACTGAGGAAGCGTGAGGAGGGAAGGGAGAGAGGCTCTGTCTGCTCAGGCGTCCCCTCAACCCTTCCCCCTGGGAACCCTCCCTGCTGTGACACATGGGACATGGGCAGGTGGAGGGCCCCAGGAGTCCCCCGTCTTCACTGGAAGGCATGGGTCATGCCCAGAGGAGGTCTGAATGAGGAATTGGCCATGCCCAGGCTTCACCCCTTTGGGGTCCCCTTCCCTGTACCCACAGTGCTGGTCGCCAGTTCCTTAGTCTTTCCTGCTTTACAGCCAGTTCCCCCAAACAGAGGCCCCTACACCTTCCCTCTCTTCTCGCCTGCCAACTGGCCCCTGGCCCCCGTGTTAACTATGCCCGCCTGGCCTCTCCTCCCCCAGGTGGCAGCTGTCAGGACCACAGCTCCGTAGGCCAGCAGGCTCCAAACCCACTTCCTCCCAACGGACCGCCATCTGCAATGCCAGCTCCAATGGTCCCACCAGCACCCTGCAGGCCTCTCACGATGCTATTTCCCTTTATTCCCCAGATTCCTCTGACTTCTTCCTCACCTCCCCTCTGTCTGCCTTCTCCAGTCCAAGGAAGCCAGGCGGCCCTCTCCTTGGAGGCGAGCCCCTCCCCACGCCCTGCAGCTGTGGTCCCTCTGGGGTCTGCCTGCTGTGCACAGGGTCTCCCATGCACCCCCTTCTGCACTGCTCATGAGGCCCTTGCCTGGGACGCAGAGGGAAGGGGGAGGCGATTGAAGACAGACAACAACAAAGAACGGGGGACAGCCCCACCACTGAGGGCGAGGCGCCGTTCATGTGGGGGAGGGCAAATCTTTAGGGAGTCCCTCCTGGTTACTGAGGGGAAGGGGAAACTACAGACAAACTGGATCACCATAAAGGGAAATAGACTTCCAGAGGGCGGGCGTGCCCCCGGAGCAGCTGCGAGGCACGCCCGGTGGGGCTGGCAGGCAGGTGGCGATGCACGTTGGGGCTGGGGAGGAGAAGGGCCACCTGGGTGGCAGGTGGGGAGCTTGGCTGCACCCTTGAGAGAGACTTGGAGGTCTGGGCCAGGCCAGGGGAGAAGACGCAAACACCCACCAGTCCCCAGGTAAGCTGCTGGGCTCCGGTACTACCTGAGTTGCGGCCACTATTCATTCACATTTTAAAGGGCAAGGTGAGCCAGTATGGCTGGGAGACTTGGTGACCTCACGTAGCATATATCTACCCTTTAAACCCATTGCCGTCGAGTCGATTCTGACTCATAGTGGCCCCGTAGGACAGAGTAGAACTGCCCCATAAGGGCTTCCAAGGAGCACCTGGTGGATTTGAACTGCTGACCTTTTGGTTAGCAGCCATAGCTCTTAACCACTGTGCCACCAGGGTTTCCACAGCACGTATCTAGGTGACATAAAGGATCCCCTTTGCCCCTCCAGATTGGGGGTTCCAGGTGAGGTCATGTGAAGGGTTTGTCCTCAGGTCTAATGGGCCCAGGCGACTCCACCGTCATCTCGCCCGGGAGGAATGAGTACCCCAGTACACAGAACTTGGCTTCTAAATTCATTCTCCAATGAGAGAGCTCCTTGAGGAAAATGGCAGAGAAAGTGCCAAATGGGCCTGGAGCATCTTCGGATGTGCTCTAACAGTGACATGGAGCCAGCTCGAAGGCGCCCCCACTGGCCACATCTAGGACCAAGTTTTCCTGAAGCAGGGAAAGAACATGATGGGAACTCTGGTGCAGCGTGGACCAGATCTGCAGAGCAGCTCGTCTATGGAGCAATGTACGCACTTTCCTGACAGCGATCACTGTCCTGTGCTTAGGTGAGAGGTTAGCAGTGGGGAAGCTTGAGAAGGATGTTTTGGGGTACTATTCTGGCAACATTCTTTTAATTCTGAAATTATTGTAAAATGAAAAATCAAAAATATTTTAAAACCTCCTGCCTGCAGCTCAGCTTCACCTCTGCCCTAGGTGAAGCCACCTGCTTGACTCCCCGGTGTGGTGCTGTGGTCTGCCTGCTCCCCACCACCGAGGTGGGCCATTCTTGGTGGGGAACTCCCAATGAGGAAGGAAGGCAGGGTCGGGGGGGGGCCTGTGGGGGAAGTGGGAGCCACTGGTAATCAGGATGATCTACAGCCCAGGCCCCTGGTGGCCACTTCCGTGGGGTCTAAGCCACAAGGACTTCCTGCCTCAGGCAGCCGGACCCAGGCAGAACCGTTGGGAAAGCAGAGGCAGGAGATTCCACCCCCTGAGGCCGGTCACCTCGCGCTGGCTGGGGTGTCTGCCCCCCAGTGTCCTCTAGCCCAGCCTCTTGTCCCTCCATCCCATCCTACACTACGTGTGTCTGTGTGTGTGCATGCGTGTGTGCGAGTGTATATGTGTGCGTGTGTGAACGTGCCTGCATGTGCCTGCGTGCACCCACGTGTGTAGCTCTCAACAAGTCCTTAGCCAAGGATGGAGGAGTTTTTGCTTTCTTCTGATGGGACGTAGTGACGGGGCCTCCCGAGACGCACCTCAAAGGTCACCTCGCGCGCCTCACTGAGGTCCGTCTTGTTGCCGACCAGCATCACCACGACTTCCCCTGGCAGGAACTCGCTCTCCAGGTCCTTCAGCCAGTGTCGAGCCCTGAGGAAGGAATCCTGCGAAAAGGTTTTTTACATGTCAGATGGACACTTACGGATGGTCTTCACGAGCTATTCTAGGAAAGAAAGAAGAAGCGCGCCCGTCACATCGTGTAAGCTGTCGTTATCCAGTTGTGACAACCCCGTCTTCTGCGGACGGGTGACCAGGCCTTTCTCTGGCTGTGTGTGGTCTGTGCAGGCGGCCAGCAAGCTGCTGGGACACAGGTCAGCTCCTCACACCCACCCTTCCCCTCCTCACAGGGCCCGGAGACCAAGGCCCCAGGTATTTTGGGTCAGGCCTCAAGCCCCAAGGGCCCGCACCCCTGGATGCCCTTGAAGGACCCCTTTGTGCAGGAGAGTTTGGGGGTGGCTATCACCCCAAACCCTGATCCTAACTGCAGTGCCCCATGAAGCAGACAACAGGCTCCTTCCCTCGCCCCAGTAGCCCCTGTCTCCACCCTGACCAAGTCAGCCCCTGCTCACAGCTCCCCCACCCGTGACTCCGCTGCGGAACTGCTCGCCCCCCAAATCCTGCCCTGTGCACTACGGCCTCGAGGCCTTTAGCATGCTCTTCCCTCATGCTAGAACTTCTCCCCCCTTCCTGCTCACGTGCCACATTGCCCCCTCCCTGCCCCGCCCACCCCCAACGTGGCTAGTCCCTATTTCCCTGCCGGAAGCCCTCCCTGACCCCTGCTGGGACCGGTGCCCCTCTGAGGTGCCCCCACAGAGCCTGGCCTGCCTTATCATGCACCTGTTTACTTGTATTTAGGAGTCCCTGGGTGGTGCAAGGAAACCCTGGTGGTGCAGTGGTTAAGAGCTACGGCTGCTAACCAAAAGTTCAGCAGTTCAAATCCACCAGCCACTCCTTGGAAACCCTGTGGGGCAGCTCTACTCTGTCCTGTAGGGTCGCTATGAGTCGGAATCCACTCAACGGCGGCAGGGTTCGGCTTTTTGTTTTTGTTTTTTTGGGTGGTGCAAATGGTTAATGCACTCAGCTGCTAACCAAGAGGTTGGAGGTTCAAGTCCACCCAGAAGCACCTCGGAAGAAAGGCCTGGCAATCAACTGAAAAATCAGCCGTCGAAAACCCTGTGGAGCACAGTTCTACTCTGACACACATAGGGGTGCCATGAGTCGGAGTCAACTCAACAGCACCTGGTTGGTGACTTCTACCTGGACGACACCCTGTGCAGACAGAGGCTGTGTCTGTCCCAAGTCTGTGATATCCTCCTCGCCAACTCAGCGGGCACCCAGGGAACAACGAGTAATGCCAAGAGTGCTGTGTGCGGGTGTTCTGGGGACTGTGAAGGGACATAAACCCAACCAAGCAGGAGGGCTTCCTGGAGGAGGTGACCGACTTACACTGACGTGTTCTCTGTTGGTTGATGTAACTTTACTACAAAGCACCAGCACTGGAACATCTTGGCATGGTTGAAAGGATATGGGAGCCAGCTTAAAGGAGCCCCCACTGGCCAAATCTAGGACTGGGGCACAGGCTCTGATATAACTCCTTCAGGATACAGCTGCGCCGTGCCTGCAACGCAGAGGGAAGAGGCCGTGGCGTGCTCACCTTGCTGGTGATGTCATACACCAGCAGCGCGGCGTTGGCACCCCGGAAGTAGAGGTGGCAGACGCTGTGGTACTTCTCCTGGCCGGCCGTGTCCCAGATCTCAAACTTGAGGGAGGCGGACTCCATGTGCACCACCTTCGTGAAGAAGGCGCCTGAAACAAGGGAGCTTCATTTAGATGTTTTCATCCACGGCTTGGACCGGACGACCTCGAGCTGTTTGTCGCTGTCCCCTTTCGCGTAAAGCCCAGTGGGTCTGGGACTGATTCTGGCTTCCACGAGCACATCTGCACATAAGCACTGGGTGTCATCATCTCCCCAAAAGACATCACAGAGAAAGTTTGCAGCACAGAGAAAGAAGCCGGGCGCCAATCCCCCACCCCCGCACCCCTGGGGTACTCCTCAGGAGCCGCCTCCGAGAAGATGGATAGGCCTCCAGAGGACTGGTGCTTGCCCTCATGTCTGCCCCACAGATGATGTGTTCCGGGGCACAGGGCCTGCCTGCTCACCTGCCTGTAGGATCCTGCACCCCTGGTACAGGTGAGGGGTCCGCGCTCAGCAAATACCGGCTGAATGAGTGAATAAGTGAGTGAATGAGTGAATGAATGGATTCAGAGACACCGACAGCTTATTAGTGCAGAGTCAGAATCTGACACCAAAGCGCTGAGTCCACACGTGGAGACCCCGCCACCACCACTGCCCCCGCCCCCGGGGGGGATCAGCACAAAGAACTCCTTTGGTTTCCTGTTTTAGGTGGGGCCGTGGGTTTTCTTTGCCCAGGCAGGATGTGCTCAGCAGACGTCCAAAGAGGTTTACGTTAAGTTGCAGCCTTCCTGAGAAGCGCAGTGAGAGGGTCTTCCCTCCCTGGCATCCCTTCCTACGCACGCCCACTCCGATCCAGGCTCCGCTGGGGAGCCATGTGCAGGCAAAAGGGGGATTGTCTTTAGGGAATGTGTTAGCAGAAAGGCGCCCTGGGTGAAGGGCCAACTCGTCTGGGCATCCACGTGGGTGGCAGAGCCTGGCTAGGCCATCTGGACCCCTCCCTTCACCCCCAGACCTGCTCACACACCCACGCCTTTGGAGTCTCCACCCCCTGCGGACGCCGGCTGAGAGAAGCCTGAGCTGAAAGGAAGGGCGCTGGCATGTTCTGCTGGATCCTGCACGCCTGACTGTGATGGACTTCATCACTGTCCACGCCTCAACCACGTGCTGGGCGCAGCTGAGGGTCCAGGTGCAAACGCCAAGCGTGGGAAATCCCGAGGAGGGTCTCCATCAGCCCCCACCCGGGGAATCAGCAGCTCTGGCTCCTTTACTGAAACCAAAACCGTTTACCATCAAGTTGACTCTGACTCATGGTGACCCCTGTGTGTCAGAGTAGAACTGTGCTCCACAGGGTTTCCAATGGCTGACATGTTGGAAGTACATTGCCAGACCTTTCTTCCGAGGCACCTCTGGGTGGGCTCAAACCTCCAACTTTTCCACTAGTAGCTCAGCGCTTAACCATTTGTGCCACCCAGGGACTCTGCCGCTAGAGACTGACAGAGGGCCCTCTGTCCGTCCGCCACTTACATCCCACAGTGGGCAGGATGCTCTTGAAGTCGTTCTTGACGTACCGGAGAGCCAGGCTGGACTTGCCCACAGAGCCACTTCCCAGGAGAACCAGCTTGAAGACGCGGGGTGGGCTCAAGCTGGCCCCAGGTTGCGGGGTCCTGTCTGCCTGTGCCATGCCCTGCAAAGAGACACACGTTTGAAGTGGGGTGATGACCTGGGGCCAATAAGCTCAGTGAGTCCAATCTACCTGGGAGCTGTCTGCACTGATTTAGGCAGACGGCTTGGAACCAAGCTGCAAGCAGCAGGTGACAATGGGGTGCACACCCCTGCTCACCCTGCACCCCATCTCGCCATCTGTACCTGGGGTGGACTAATGCCTAACGCCTGTGGTGTAGGTCTGCGTGAGGAACACAGGAAGCTCAGCCTATAAAGTGTGGTACATCATAAACAGCTGCAGAGCCTGATTAAGAATGATTACACCATCAGTTATCACCCACCACCCATCCGGCAGTTTGTAGTACTGTGGGGACTTGCATGTTGCTATGATGCTGGAAGCTATGCCAACAGTATTTCAAATGCCAGTGATCCTTCACTCATGGTGGACAGGTTTCAGCAGAGCTTCCAGACTAAGACAGACTAGGAAGAAAGACCTGGAGATCTACTTCCACAAATTATTGTTATTGGTAGGTGCCATCGGTCAGTTCTGATTCCTGGCGACCCTATATGCAATGGAACGAAACACTGCCTGGTCCTGCTCCATCCTCACAATCATTGTTATGCTTGAGCCCATTGTTGCAGCCACTGTGTCAATCCATCTCCTTGACGGTCTTCCTCTTCTTCGCTGACCCTCTACTTTACCAAGCATGATGTCCTTCTCCAGGGACTGGTCCCTCCTGTTAACATGTCCAAAGTACCTGAGACAAAATCTTTCCATCCTTGCTTCTAAGGAGCACTCTGGCTGTACTTCTTCCAAGACAGATTTGTTCCTTCTTCTGGCAGTCCGTGGTATATTCTATATTCTTCACCAGCACCGTAATTCAAAGGCATCAATTCTTCTTTGGTCTTCCTCATTCATTGTTCAGCTTTTGCATACCTATGAGGTGACTGAAAATACCATGGCTTGAGTCAGGCACACCTTAGTCCTTAAAGTGACATCTTTGCTTTTTAACACTTTAAAGAGGTCTTTTGCAGCAGATTTGCCCAATGCAATACGTTGTTTGATTTCTTGACTGCTGCTTCAATGAGCATTGGTTGTGGATCTAAGTAAAATGAAATCCTTGACAACTTCAATATTTTCTCTGTTTATCATGGTGTTGCTTATTGGTCCAGTTGTGAGGATTTTTGTTTTCTTTATGTTGAGGTGTAATCCATATGGAAGGCTGTGGCCTTTGATCTTCATCAGTAAGAGCTTCAAGTCCTCTTTGCTTTCAGCAAGCAAGTCGGTGTAATTTGCATATCGAAGGTTGTTAATAAGTCTTCCTCCAATCCTTACACCCTGCTCGTCTTCATACAGTCCAACTTCTCGGATTATTTTGCTCAACATACGGATTGAATAAGTATGGTGAAAGGATACAACCCCGAAGCATAACTTTCCTGATTTTAAACCATGCAGTATTCCATTGTTCTGTTCAAACAACTGCCTCTTGGTCTATGTACTGGTTCCTCATGAGTACTATTAAGTGTTCTGGAATTCCCATTCTTCATAATGTTACCCATAATTTGTTATGATCCACACAGTCAAATGCCTCTGCATAGTCAATAAAATACAGGTCAACATCTTTCTGGTATCCCTGCTTTTAGCCAAGATCCATCTGACATCAGCAATGATGTCTCTCATTCCACATCCTCTTCTGAATCTGGCTTGAATTTCTGGCAGGTCCCTGTTGATGTACTGCTGCAACTTCTTTTGAATTATCTTCAGCAAAACTTTACTTGGATGTGATATTGATATTGCTCGATATTTTCTGCATTCTGTTGGATCTCCTTTCTTTGTAATGGGCACAGATATGGATCTTTCAGTCGGTTGGCCAAGCAGCGTGTTCCAAATTTCTTAGCATAGACAAGGGAGCACTTCCAGTGTTGCACCCATTTGTTGAAACATCTTCGTTGATACTCCATCAATTCCTGGTATCTTGATTTTCACTAATGCCTTCAGTGCAGCTTGGACTTCTTTCCACCAAGTGGCCAATGAAAATCCTGTAAATCACAACAGAACGTTGTCCAACTTTCTTGCTTTGGATACTTCAATCAGGAGGCATCAATCACTGGTGGAGGCTATCTTGTGTGGTGAAGTAGAGGGCCAGCGAGGGCGAGGGAGACCCTTGGTCAGAAGGATTGGCACAGTGGCCACAATGAAGGACTTGAACATGCCAGCTATCATGAGGATGATGCAGGACCTGGCAGCGTTTCATTCTGCTGTACATGGGCTCGCCACGAGTCAGAGTTGACTCGACAGCAGCTAACAGCAACAACAGTTGTCATATGTCTTACTGTCTTCATTCTATCACTTCTCACTTCTTAAAAATGTGTGACTTATTCCTAAAAGTATCCGAAACACCCAAGAGGTAAACTGCTCTCTGAGTTGTTGGTTCATGGATTAAAGCTAGTGCTTCAAATAAAAGGTCTAAAAATAAAAGTTGGGGTTTCAGGGATCTCAAAATATTGTAGACTTTCTCCTTGGATCCAAAGCCTCAGAAGCCACAGCACTGGAGAAAACAGATCTGTGGCCAAAATAAATTTGGGAGACCATGCATTGTTTTTATTATAGGAAATTTCACACACATACCACGAGGGAGAGAGAACAGTCCAATGGACCTCTGTGTACCCATAGCCCACCTCCACAGCTCACACCGTGCAGCCCATCTTGTTTCACCCACAGCCTGACACCAGATTTTTTTTCATGATTTTCTTTCTTTATTTATTTATTATCGTATTTTAGATGAGGGTTTACAGAGCAAATTAGTCTCTCATTAAACAATTAATACACATATTGTTTTGTGACATTGGTTGCCAACCCCACAACATGTCAACACTCTTCCCTTCTCGACCTTGGGTTCCCCGTTACCAGCTTTCCTGTCTCCTCCTGCCTTCTTGTCCTTGCCCCTGGGCTTGTAAGCCCATTTAGTCTTATTTTCTTTTATGGGCCTCTCTAATCTTTGGCTGAAGAGTGACCTTCAGGAGTGACTTCAGTACTGAGTTAAAAGGGAGTCCGGGGCCCATACTCTTGGGGTTTCTCCAGTCTCTGTCAGACCAGTAAGTCTGGTCTTTTTTTGTGAGTTAGAATTTTGTTCTACATTTTTCTCCAGCTCTGTCCAGGACCCTCTACTGTGATCCCTGTCAGAGCTGTCAGTGGTGGTAGCTGGGCACCATCTAGTTGTGCTGGACTCAGTCTAGTGGAGGCCGTGGTACTTGTGGTCCATCAGTCCTTCGGACTCATCTTTTCCTCCTGTCTTTGGTTTTCTTCATTCTCTTGCTCCAGACGGGGTTAGACCAGTGGAGTATCTTAGATGGCCACTCATGAGCTTTTAAGATCCCAGAAGCTACTCACAAAAGTAAGATGTAGGACATTTTCTTTATAAACTATGTTATGCCAATTGAGCTAGATGGTCCCCAAGACCATGGACCCCGTAGCTCTCAGACCAGTAATTCGGTCCCTCAGAGAGGTTGGATGTGTCTCTGGAGCTTCCATGACATTGCCTTGGTCTAGTTGTGCTGACTTCCTTGGTATTGTGTACCATCTTACCCTTCACCAAAGTTACCACTTATCTATCATCTACTTAGTGTTTTCCCCTCTCCTCCCCTCTCCTTCCCTCCCTCATAACCATCAAAGATGGCTTCTTCTTGTGTGTAAACCTTTCTACGAGGTTTTTATAATAGTGGTCTCATACAGTATTTGTCCTTCTGTGATTGACTTATTTCACTCCGCATAATGCCCTCCAGATTCGTCCATGTTGTGAGATGCTTCACAGATTCATCAATGTTCTTTATTGTTGCGTAGCACTCCATCGTGTGTATATACCATAGTTTGTTTATCCACTCATCTGTTGATGGGAATGGGAATCTAGGTTGTTTCCATCTTTTTGCTATTGTGAACAATGCTGCAACGAACATGCGTGTGCATATGTCTATTCATGTGACGGCTCTTATTTCTCTAGGATATATTCCTAGGAGTGGGATTGCCGGATCATGTGGTATTTTTATTTCTAGCTTTCTAAGGAAGTGCCATACAGTTTTCCAGAATGGTTGTACCATTTTGCATCCCCACCAGCAGTGCATAAGAGTTCCAATCTCCCCACAGCCTCTCCAACATTTGTTTTTTCTGTTTTTTGATTCGTACCAGTAATGCCAGGGCAAGATGGTATCTCATTGTGGTTTTGATTTGCATTTCTCTAATGGCTAGTGATTGTGAGCATTTCCTCATGTGTCTGTTAGCCACTTGAATGTCTTCTTTGATGAAGTGTCTGTTCATTTCCTTTGCCTGTTTTTAATTGGCTTATTTATCTTTTTGTTGTAGAGGTGTTGGATTTTCCTGTAGATTTCAGAGATTAGAACTTCGTCGGATTTGTCATAGCCAAAAGTTGTTTCCCTGTCTGTAGGTTCTCTTTTCACTCTTCTGATGAAGTCTTTTGATGAGAATAAGTGTTTAATTTTTAGAAGATCCCAGTTTTCTAGCCTATCTTCTGGTGTTTGTGCATTGTTAGTTATGATTTGTATCCTTTTTATGCCATGTATTAGGGCCTCTATCACTGACCCTATTTTTTCTTCTATGATCTTTATTATTTTCTGTTTTATGTTTAGGTTTTGATCCATTTTGAATTAGTTTTTGGGTGTGGTGAGAGGTGTGGGTCCTGCTTTATTTTTTTGTAGATGGACATCCAGTTTTGACAGCATCATTTGTTAAAAAGACTGTCTTTTCCTTATTTGATGGACTTTGGGCCCTTGTGGAGATCAGGTGACTGTAGGTGGATAGATTTACATCTGGGTTCCCAATTCTGTTCCATTGGTCAATGTGTCTTCATTGTACCAGTACCAGGCTGTTTTGACTACGGTAGCTGTAGTTTCTGAGGTCAGGTAGTGTGAGTCTTCCTTCTTTATTCTTCCTATCTGGGGCCTCTTCCCTTTCTGTATAAAGTTAACGATTAATTTTTCCATCTCTTTAAAGAATGCTGTTGGTATTTG